TTTCCATATTATTCAATGCAAGAACTTCCAGTTCCAGTCCCAATTTTTCTGACCAAGGAGTGGAACTCAATGTGTCTTCTGCTATTGTAGCCCATCCACCTCAAGGTTTGATGTTTTGTGCATGCTGAGATGCTTTTCTGCTCACCACAGTTGTAAAGAGTGATTATTTGAGTTACTATATCCTTCCTGGAAGCAGATCAGCAGTTTCTGAAATACTCAAACCAGCCCTTCTGGCACCAACAGCCATGCCATGGTTAAAGTCACAAAGCTCACACTTTTTCTTCATGCTGATGTTTGAAGTGAACATTAACTGAAACTCTTGACCTGTATCTGCATGAATTTTGCATTGTGCTGCTGCCACATGATTGGTTGAATAGATATCTGCATGAATGTGCAGGCGTATAGTTGTTTCTAATAAAGTGGATGGTGACTGTATTTACTAAGTGTGAACATGAATTGGATATTCAAAACTACTACACAAAGTTACAGGTCTGTCACAGTTCACCTAAGTGGAGCTTGGATTTATCTGTACACTTAGATAAGGTTAGTTAATTCAAACCATTTTAAGAAAGTGATTCACTTAAAAGAATTATGTTTTTTTTGCTAGCCACTAATCCACCAGGGAACATCCTGTAACATAATGCAAACTAATGCAAATCATGTTCTCGCAGCTTCTTTAAATATTTCTGACTGTGTCCGTCACTGTGGTTTGGGGTATTTTGCAAGTCACCTACAGTACGGATTTGGATTGAATAGAACCTGTGATTTAGTTGTGATGTTTAGTTGTGATGACACATAATATGGGCTATAAACATAAACAAGCAAGTTTCCATGCTTACATGACCAGGTACATTTAATGTCAAAAATAGCATTATTATAATATAATAGCACAGCTAGAACTCATTTTAACTAATCATATTGCACCGTCGGAAACTAACTGTACTATAAAGCCTTATAAACCTGAGCTTTAAAACGTAATTTTTTTACGGGAATCACTTTCTTAAAATGCTTTGAGTAAACTAACCTTATCAGAGTGTACAGATAAATCCAAACTTCACTTAGGTTTTCTGTGACAGACCTGTAATTTTGTGTAGTGGTTTTGAACATCCAGTTCATGCTTAGTAAATACACTCACCATCCACTTTATTAGGAACACCTGTACACCTGCACATTCATGCAGTTATCTAATCAACTAATCATGTGGCAGCAGCACAATGCAAAAGATATTGCACATACAGGTCCAGAGTTTCTGGGATTTTCACACATAAGTCTTCAGGGTTTACACAGAATGGTGCAAAAAACCAAAAACATCCTGTGTGTGGAGGGTCTGCAGGCTGAAATACTTAATAAGTGGTCAGAGGAAAATGGCCACATTGGTTCAAGCTGTCAGGAAGGATATAGTAAATGAGTCTTTGCTTATTTAAACAAAGGTATTGAATTGAAGTTCAACACTGCTGTATGGTGGCTTCCATATTCAGATGCACACAGATAGCTATAGAGCTAACTACACTGTGCAGTGAGAGAAGGTCACTACAGATTACGAATTGGCACAGTAGTTTTTTTTTTCACATTAATGAATTCGATTGGATGCTAAACTGAAATGATTTTTCTTGGAAATGTATTTAAGTAAGAGTACAAAGATTTCAATATTACTCAAGTAGAGTATAAATATGCCAATTACTCAAGTATTTTCCACCCCTGATAAAACTGGATGAGAAAAAAAAATTTTTTTTCCATATGTACTGTGTGTTTTCGATATTTGAGTAATTCTAACCTAGAGTTCCATCTACAATTCAATACGATTCAATTTTATTTGTATAGAGCTTTTAACAATGGACATTGTCACAAAGCAGCTTTACAGAAATATATAAATTCAGGATATAGTATGCCTCAAAAAGCCAAAATGAGACGTCTCTTTTGCCTCCCTTGAAGGCATGAACTTCTTCTCATTTAAAAAAAGCATGTTGAAGTAAGTTTTACTAAATTGCTAACATTAACTTGCCATATTTAACTATGTTAGCCTCTTGTCTTTGCTAATTCCAAGTTAGACTAACATTGATTCCAGTAGCTGTAACATAATTTCCCTAGACAAGTCAAATTTTAGCTAATGTTAAATATTGGTTATTTTACAGGATATTTTATTTTTGATTAATTCATCAACAAACTACACAGAGTTAGTCATACATACAACCTGCAAACTTACAGAGATTGGATGATGGTTTCAGGCAAACTGGCACAGTTGCTTTAAAATGAAAATCAAAAGGCTGCCCACTGCTCCGGGTGTGTGTTCACGGTGTGTGTGTGTTCACTACTGTGTATGTGCACTTGGATGGGTTAAATGCAGAGCACAAATTCCGAGTATGGGTCACCATACTTGGCTACACGTCTCTTCACTTCACTTCACTTATAACAGTTTTAGATAAGTAATAAAAGTTACTTTTCACATGAAAACATTACATAGACTTTTTTTTTTAACTTTTAATTTAGTTTTACTTTTATTTGAGCACATTTTTGGCTGGATACCAAGTTTGTTTTCTTCTTCAAAGAGAAAATTTACATCGGTGAGATTTCCATGGATTTACATAGAGGTCTGTGACTTGTTTATTGTGTGCTGACTTATGCAAAAGGGTTTTTTGGCTAGTGTTTGTGAATGTGCTTTTTTGTTTAGATAGTTGGGTGAAACTATTGTTAAAAAAATAAAGAAAAATATTTAATTATTTTGCACTCAGATGTAAGAGTATTGATCCAATGGCAAAAATGTGATGTACCTCAATAAAAGGCAAAATAAGAACATAAGAAAATGTGTGATGGCCTAGGAAAACCCTTTATATGGTTTATTTATAGAGTTTATTAGGTACTAGGATTTTCCTAGGTCACCACAATAATAGGCAATTCCTCGTCTCATTGGATCAGTTATTTAACCTTGTGTATATGTGTAATTTTTAATATAGATATCTGTGTGTGTATTTGTGTCAAAGTCAACAATTCAGGGAAGCCTTCACCAGAGTAATGCTGCATTTGAGACAAAGTTGCAACTTGTAATTCACCTACACCTGGTAAATGCCACCAAAAATGCCCCCTCAGCTTGAAATTTCAACTCATCAACTTGGGGTAGTCTACGCAACTACCAGTTCCTTCACAGTTTACAAAGTAACGTAAAATCAACATGGCCATGCACACTGTAAACAGTGTGAAGTTCTCCTTCTTTACTTTTAAATTAGTTTACAGCAGTATTGGCTTTAGATCAATTAATGTAGAGACACAGTACTTGGTTTAATCTATAACACTGACCATACTAATCACTGTTTCAAGAAGGTAATCATCAACATTAGAGTTATCAATAACGTTAGCCGGGTAGCTTGTTGCTACCAGTACTCGCTATTGTCTGCTAGCTAGCTTGTTGCTAAGGTACTTGCTATTATCTGCTGTTGTTGCTGTGCTGCAGTTTCAGTCCAAAATGTTGCATGAATGTTTGACGTTCACTATAGTAGAGCAGTACCAATAGCCACTCAGGCCTGTAACTGTAAATGCTACACTTTAAAGTAGCTTTTTATGACCTTTACATGTTCTGACAGAGCAAACAAAAGTTGCATTTTCATGGACGCAGGAATGTTTTTTTTTTTTTTCACTTCGCATGTCAAATGGAAATGACGTTATTACAACTTGCAAATTACCACTTACAAGGCACCACGAATGCAGCATAAATACAGTGGGTTTACCACGAGATGTTAACCATTAGTAAGCCTCACAAACAGGAAGACCAGATTAGAGATGCCAAGAACATTTAAAAAAAAAAGAAAGCCTGTACAGTTCTGGAACAACTCCTGTATACTGTGATTGACAGCTAAAATAACAAGAATCTTGTCAATGTCCAAATATTTATGGGCTTGGCTGTACAGTTGAGGTCAAAAGTTTACATCCCCCTTTCAGAATCTGCAAAATGTTTATTATTTTACCAAAATAAGAGGGATCATACAAAATGCATGTTATTGTTTATTTAGTGCTGACCTGAATAAGATATTTCACATAAAAGATGTTTACATATAGTCCACAAGAGAAAATAATAGTTGAATTTATAAAAATGACCCCGT